GCATTTTACAATGTATCAGTACAAGCATTTGCATTCTAACATTGGCGAAAGTCAGACCAGTCGAGGGAGTTAAGATGCGTTAGTAATTCCACTGTATTTGCTGGTCGGAAGTTATGGAAAAAAACTATATTTTTAGGAAAAGGTTTGATCCGCCTCCAGTTCTAGTGTAGCAAAAACTGTGATATGGTCTAAACTCCCAAGTGGGTCTAAGGATGACACTGACAGTAGTTCACACTCTCTACAGAAAATTAGGTCCTCGGGTGGGAAAATTGACTACCTGATCCTACATGCCGATATCTACGGCCTCAAGTTAGTTCTCAAACTTTGGAGGACGTAAGCGAAGCCATGTTTAAGGAATCAAATGTATTTTCAGAATCAGGGGACAATTTATGCTTTAAAAAAATTATGTTTACTTAAGCTGTCAATATGTTTGCCCAAAATGCAGTAACAAAACAGTTTTCATCGCATTTTGTTTTACGGCATCGCGTACAGGGTGAAAAACACAGTGTCCCTGTATGTAAATCTGAAGGTAATTCTGCAGAGGACTTTTTAAATGCCATTCATCTAGAAATACATTTGTGTTAACTTTACGTTCCGCTTATGCGTTATTTAGAAACGGATCAGACAGAAGAATAATATATTATACATACAGTAGATGCCAAAGATAATGCAACATTTCGTCATATGCGAAAGACTGATACTCTTTCGCTTAACGGCATTGACTCCAGTTGTGATACTGATTATTGTGTAGTCTATTCTGAAGTCATTTCCATGATAGGATGCGGGCTTTTTAATGAGCTTCGTTCTGACCACTAGCAAAACCCAGGATAGGATGCCGGCTTTTTAACGAGCTTCGTTTCGACTCCTAGCAAAACGCTAACGGGCTTCGTTCTGACCACTAGCAAAACGTATCTATTGTAAAAACTGGCAACCTAAGTAGTATGCATTTTCATCATTTATTTTGACTGCCTTTATAAATTCAAATATATTTTATGGAAAACATACACCAGAAAATTATTTTTGTACTTATTTGATAGCAACTTACGCGTTCTTTAAATTTTATACTAAACAAAAGGGTAGCTTTCAGTTTTAAAGAAGTAGCCCAATTGCCGAACACTCGAATTCAAGGTTTGAAAACTGCGCACTGTGTACATCCTGTTTAAGGAAATGTAAATGTTTGCCTGCAGTTTGAGGGAGAAGTCACCTAGTAGTCATAAAATATTGAAATAGATTTGTAATATATTTTATGCAGTATAGGCAGCACAAATAAATTAACGGATGCAATGTAGTATGAATGAAGACCTCACAATCGCAAAAAAGCTCATAATTAGCAAGTTTTTTAAAACCGAAGGCGTAATCTGCTATCAAACAAGTACAAGAAATAATTTTTTCGTGCATGCTTTCTATAAAATATATTTGAATTTATAAAGCAGTCAAAATGAATGATAAAAAGGCATACAACGCCGGTATGCCAATAAGGCCTAAAACGTTTACATAGTTTTGAAAGTTGCACGATTTGTAGCGCACACTGTATATACTTTCAAGAAAATCATAGTGCCAAACTAGAAAATTAAGAAGCATACTCGTATGGTCCGAGTGCATAATTTAATAAATAAATTGTCAAAAATATTGCATTTCAGGTTATCGTATCAAACCATATCATGCGTTACCATTTAAAATAGGCATTTATGCCTCCCCATATCTTGCAGCAACAAGCATTGTCGTTATCAGCATTAAGAGATGTAAGAAAAATCGTTTATTTAAAACAAATAAAGTTGTCGATATTGCTACCGGCCAGCCGATCTCATCTGCCAAAAGCAGTTTGGTGAAGGGCTTAATTTTGGGATAAATGCAGACATAAAGTACACAGTTAAATGCAGACAATCATTCCCGATGACAGAACAGAAACGAATTGCCACGTTATTCAACTCCATTCTTAAACTGTCAGCTATCGAATTTGCCTGTCCCCCTGCTCAGTGTGCGTCGTATTTTCCATGGTTATTACCTGCGGCATAATGAGATGTGTATTCGATGGGCACGCATGGGTAACTCTCGCAGGGCTGAAATGAACCAAATGAATATTATCGGCAGGACGAGCAGCTGAATATCAATCAATAGTGCGGTTGCTTGAGGCAGTTAAGAGTTAAATACTAATTTGCATAAACCCACCGCACACAGGAACTCATGTCCTGTTTGAAAGATGCAGACTGTTAGGAAAGTCACCGAAAGTGGCACAGTAGAAATAGTTGCAGTCATCCAACCCTGCGGTCGACTGAATGCCTCCATCTGCTCCTGCGTAGTGCCGGGAAGGTATACGATGTTCCAAGTGTCCGACAGTTGCTCCGGCGGGGTATTGCGCACCCAGGAGATAATTTGGTAGCAGGAGACGCCCAATATGATGGGACTCATTATTGCAGTCAGACCAAAGCGAACAAAGGTTTGTGTGTAGATTGCCACAAGACGGCGTAGGACAGACCGGTGTCGAGGCACTTGCATGCTGTTCCATTCTACTCCACCATGGTGGCTTGGGGAACTACACAGAACATGGTAAATAGGCCCAGTCCACCCAAGTAAGCGAGATCAGCTAGTCGAGATGTGGAAAAAGAGTTTTGGTATTTGCAGCAAACTTGAATGGCTCGGTTTCCAACTGTAAAATTTAGGATAAGGACAGCAAATATGTAGCATACGAGAGACAGACATCGGCTTGTCCATATGTGACTCAAAATGGGACCCATGATGGCATCGGCGTGAATTAGACGCCCTGGTATAACATAGTAGCAGATACTGACTACACAGTAGATGAACACAGAGGCCGTCAAGGCGCGCACTTGAACTAGAAAAATATGTGGTTTACCTTTTAACAGAAGGAGAAGCACCAGCATAAAAAAATTTTACACGAAGCACAAGTTGGTCACGAGTAGACGGATTGTAGGAAAGGCATCTTGTTTAGGAGCAGTTATAAGACACTCCCAGAAAGTCTGTTCCATTCTTTTCGTCAATACTGTTGCCTACGTCCGTATCATGGAGGTATATATTTATTTCAGGTGAACAAGCATCCTAGATGAACATAGGGTTGGTGAGGAGTCAACGGCTGAGCCAATCGTACCTCCGATTTCTGGCGTCTGTTCAGTCCTGTAAAGCGATTGGTTTTATTTTTATATTCTACTTGCGGCTATATGTACATTAACCCTATTCCCCCGTCAGCCGCTTCCTTGAATAAGTATTTGTTATCCGCAAGCGCATTCAGTCTGCCATCTTACAGCTCACCCTGTGGGCTCGTCTTATGCGTTTTACCGATCTCCTAGTTTAAATAGTTGTTTCTGTGACCATTTGTTTGGCAAGACATACACACCGTTTTCCAAAAATTGCAGTCTTTCCTTTAGATAACTGGTAAGAAACTTCCTCTACTTTGTCTCCTACTGCCTATTGTCAACTACCTCTAAGCAGACGCTGCTTCTCGATAGGGCCTCCGAAAATAACATTGTTAATGTCGCACTATTGGTCTCAGCTTTAGTTTGGAAACACATCAAAGAGGTCGTAGCGTCTAGCTTCTCGTGAATATCGTACGCTTGCAAAGTGACAAGTATGACTCAAAGGACATGTATGGCGCATTCAGTTCAAGTGCCAAGTTCAAATAAGCTTTT